GGAGAAAGCTGGTAGACCACTATGGTGAGGAATGGGTCTGTTGTGCACCAAATAAAAAAATCCTAGGAGCACTCAGTGCATAATGGAGATAAAAAAAAACTCCGACCGTTTTTTAATTAAAATGCCGACTTTGTGTCTATTTCGTATATATTTATGGTCGTATTCTCGTTTTACATTGTCTCATTGATAAAAGGAAAACATATCATAGAATAGAGGTGATGTTTGATTGATTTTACTATAAAAGAACTAGAAATGGGCTCAAAGTAGGGGAATATTGTTTTATTTTTGCCAATGTTCAAAATAAACAAATGATGTCCTTGTCCAATAAATGTCCAACTAGCCATTCTAATATGCAGTTCCCAAAAAAATTTTGGGAAATGGGTTGATGTTATTTCTACAATTATATACAGTAATTGCAGTAGTCAGCTATAATAGTAAGTCTTCATTTTTTTTTTGAATAAAAATTCAAATAGAAGCAAGAGTAATATCAGAGGGCCTGGAGATATGACTGACGAACAAAGAAAATGTTATTTTCGAGCCAGGAATGTCTGCATTGTTCATTCTGGACCTTATTTTGGGGGGGGGGGGGGGGGGGAAAGGGGCATATTTTTTAGTTTTCGTGAAGATTGGCTAAATTCATAATTTTCTGACCACATTATTAGAGTAGTTGAAATAGGTAAATGGGCAGTTTTCTTGTACTCAATCATAGAAACAAAATGGATCTAAAAATAGCATGATTTGGGCGACTGGAACAAGGAATTAGCCGAAAATAGGGCTCAAAGTGGGGGAAATCGCCAATTTGTAAAAGCGCCGGGGTCGCTAATGTCCGAGAGCATAATTCCGTCAGTTTTCCATCAAATTTCGTTTTTTTTGGTCATTACAATCGGGAAAAGATTCTCTATCATTTCATAAAACAATTTTTTTTTTTTAAATTTTGCGACACCAGGAGACACCTCAGGATTGGGGGTTGCGACAGTCAAGGGGTTAAGGGTTAAAGCTACCCAAGGGCCTAGCCTGCATCACCCTACTGGGAAGATTGTTCCACGCATCCACAACTGTTAGAGAACCAGTACTTACCTATGTCCTTTCTAAATCTAAATTTATCCAACTTTAGGCTAACAGATTACTTTGATTTATCTCAAGAAGTACAGTGGACCCTCGACAACAATCGCATCGATTAACGATAAATCCAACTAGCGATACATTTTAACGCAAAAATTTTGCCTCAACTAGCCCTAAAAAACTCGATCAACACTATTCGTTCTGTCTGAGACGCGTCCACTTCTGGCCAGTGTTTACAAGCCAGCAAGCCACCGCGGTCACTTCCAAGCATACAATCGGAACATTTCATATTATCACAGCCTTTTTAGTGATTGCACCTGCAAAATAAGTCACCATGGGCCCCAAGAAAGCTTCTAGTGCCAACCCTACAGCAAAAAGGGTGAGAATTACTATGGATATGAAGAAAGGGGATCATTGCTAAGTATGAAAGTGGAGTACGTGTCTCCGAGCTGGCCAGGTTGTACACAAAACCCCAATCAACCATCGCTACTATTGTGGGCAAGAAAACGGCAATCAAGGAAGCTGTTCTTGCCAAAGGTGCAACTATGTTTTCGAAACTGAGATCGCAAGTACTCGAAGATGTTGAGAGACTGTTATTGGTGTGGATAAACGAAAAACAGATAGCAGGAGATAGCATCTCTCAAGCAATCATATGTGAAAAGGCTAGGAAGTTGCATGACGATTTAATTAAAAAAATGCCAGAAAACTAGTGGTGATGTGATTTGAATTTAAGGCCAGAAAAGGTTGGTTTGAGAGATTTAAAGGAAGGGAAGTAACCCCGGAAAAAGGGACTTGCCACCTCAAGTCCTAAGGGAAAAGGGGATTCCCCTTCTAAACACTAAGACCATCAACATCTCCCCTCCTCCCATCCCAACAATCATCCCCTGATCTTCAATAAAGGTAAGTGTCATGTAACTGTGCATGTCTTCTTCAGTTTGTGTGTATTTAAAATTAATATTTCATGTGGTAAAAACAATTTTTTTTCATACTTTGGGGTATCCTACATGGATTAATTTGATTTCCATTATTTCTATGGGAAAATTAACTTGACTAACGATAATTTTGACTAACGATGAGCTCTCAGGAACGGATTAATAGCGTTAGTCGGGGGTCCACTGTATTAGTAACATTAGTCCAAGTTATTTTACAGCTCTATACCTCGCTAGTGAGGCCTCATGATATAGACTTGCTTCAAAATTCACATACAATATTTTTTGTCGTTTCCAAATAAAATCTACTTACACTCCGCAGCTTCAGGTTGTAGGTTTTCATAGGTTGTGTATTCTGATTCTTCAAATTTCTTCACCTTTTTTTTTCTTTTTTTCTTCTTTCCTGAAATAAGTGTATAAAAATCTTTATTGCAGCCAATAACGTTGAACAACTTTAACATACAGGTGTTCCTTGACTCATGTTGGTTGACTTACGATAATTGGGCTTTATGATGGTGCAAAAGCAATTAATTACTTTGGAGATGAAGCACAAGACAGTTACCCAGCACAAAGTGAGCAAGTTTGTAACTTGCTCACTTATTTACTTTCAATAAAGTATTTAGTTACAGAATTTATTTACTTATTCATTGACAGTAGTTAGTTGTTTAGCATATACTCATATTCGACTCACGATATTTTTAACTCACGATGTTTGTCTTTTTTTTTTAACATACTGGCTGTCTCCCACTAAGGTGAACATCAAAATGGTATACAATACCGACAGGTTGGTAGGTAAGACACATAGGCAACAGTTAGACAACTTTATTCCGAAACGTTTCGCCTACACATAGGCTTCTTCAGTCGAATACAGAAAGTAGGCAGGAACAGTAGAGATTGAAGACGATGTAATCAGTCCATCACCCTTGAAGTCATAGAAATTTTAGGTTGTCAGTCCCCACCTGGAGAAGTTCAGTTCCATAGTCAGATAGTCAAGGGGATGGACTGATTACATCATCTTCACATATCTACTGTTCCTGCCTCTTTCTGTATTCGACTGAAGGAACCATAACCCCCGGCGGGATTGAACCCGCGGTCATAGTCTCAAAATCCAGCCCGTCGCGTTAGCCCCTAGACCAGCTAGCCACAATAAGATTCATCCAACTAGGTATATTTCTACACCATAGGAAGGTTTTGCACAGGCACCACTGTGACCACAAATGCAAGTTTTTACAGACGAATCTCCAGCTAGCGTGGCCGTGACGAACTCAAGCTCAAGTCCCGTCACTGCCGTCAACATGACTCAAAAAATCGTAATGACACGATTGCAAACAAACTTGCATTTGTGGTCACGGTGGGCCTGTGCTAACCTTCCTATGGTGTAGAAAATATACCTAGTTGGATGAATCTTATTGTGGCTAGCTGGTCTAGTGGCTAACGCGACAGGCTGGAGTTTTGAGACTATGAGCCGCGGGTTCAATCCCGGCCGGGGTAAAGGTTTGTTTGCAATCGGTCATTACGATTTCTTGAGTCATGTTGACGGCAGTGAAGGGACTTGAGCTAGAGTTCGTCATGGCCACACTAGCTGGGGATTCGTCTGAAAAACTTGCATTTGTGGTCACAGAGGTGCCTGTGCTAACCTTCCTATGGTGTAGAAATATACCTAGTTGGATGAATCTTATTGTGGCTAGCTGGTCTAGTGGCTAACGCGACGGGCTGGAGTTTTGAGACTATGAGCGCGGGTCAATCCGGCCGGGGGTATGGTTTGTTTGCAATCGTGTCATTACGATTTCTTGAGTCATGTTGACGGCAGTGAAGGGACTTGAGCTAGAGTTCGTCACGGCCACACTAGCTGGAGATTCGTCTGTAAAAACTTGCATTTGTGGTCACAGTGGTGCCTGTGCTAACCTTCCTATGGTGTAGAAATATACCTAGTTGGATGAATCTTATTGTGGCTAGCTGGTCTAGTGGCTAACGCGACGGGCTGGAGTTTTGAGACTCTATGACCGCGGGTTCAATCCCGGCCGGGGGTATGGTTTGTTTGCAATCGTGTCATTACGATTTCTTGAGTCATCTCGACTGAAGAAGCCTACTGTGTAGGCGAAACGTTTCGGAATAAAGTTGCCTAACTGTTGCCTATGTGTCTTACCTACCTCCCACTAAGGTATTGTGGCCCAAAAAAGAAAAGCTTCCATCATCATTCACTCCATCACTGTCTTGCCAGAGGTCTGCTTACACTAGTTATAAAACTGCAACATTAACATCCCTCCTGAGTGCAAACACTGTAATGTACTTCCAATCTCCAGGACTGGAGTCCAGCCTGCTAGTTTCCCTGAATCCCTTCATAAATGTTACCTTGCTTACATTTAACACCATGAGGGTTAAGGGTGAAATATGTCAAACATCTGCCAGTATATTTGTCTGCTTGAATATCTTAATATGCCTTTAAAATAATTTTAAGCAGACAGCTCTGCTGCATATTCCTTCAGATTCCAGTTTGGTGTAATACTGCCTATTCATTATTGCATAATCATTCAGCAGTAAGAAAATGATTCCCAGAATGACTGGACTGCTTAACTGCAATACCTAAATATTACTGTAGGCCAACCTGGAGAAGCTTGAAACAATATCAGAAAACAGGAGGGAAATGGAATAAAATATTGACTATATGGCAAGACAAATGTATTAATGGAATCCTTTATTGACAATACAATAAAGGATTACAGTGGTACCCCAAGTTTTGTACAGCTCCCAACTAACAATTATGTAAGTATTATTGCAAGTGCTTTTGTAAGTATTTTTTAGGGGTCTGAAACTGACTAATTTAATTTACATTCCTTATGGGAACAAATTCGTTTGGTAATGGCACTTTAAAACCCTTGTGGAACGAATTATGTACGAAACTCGGGGTACCACTATTATATTGTATTTGCATCTGTTTTCCATTAAGAAACAGTATAGAAATAAAAATTTATTAAGAGTGCATGGTAATCCTCTGATGGATAAACTTACCCTTCAAAATGTCTAACATGGGAGTTTCTGAAGCCTCACTGTCTACTTGAGAAAGAAACTTGCCCATTATACTGACTTCAATCTATTTCAGTTCTGTAAAGTTAATAAACATTATCTGAAGTACTTTAACAAGTTATCCTAGGCTAATTTATACAAAATGTACTAGAAAAAAGTACTGTTAAAAGTTAAATTATTTAACACTGAACAAGGTAGTGTAACTTTACACAGAAAATACTTTCACTGACTCCTTCACTGGTACCCAGAAGGACATAGATATAGTTAAAACAACTGCAAACTGCAACATAAACCTTCAGACAATGCACTTCTCACCTAAATAAAACATAGTATTTCTATGCAGTTACTACAAGTATAATAAGTGTCTTGCAAAGCAAACAATGGCAAGTCTAAAATTCTTTAAATTGGCATTATAACATTAGCTGATGTATTTCCTTGATGTATGAGAGTAAGGAAGACAGGAATAAATAAAGGGGATGTAAATAGTGTGCTGAAAATATCTAGCCTACATAGGACTCGCAGCAATGGTTTTAAGTTGGAAAAATTCAGATTCAGGAAGGATATAGGAAAGTACTGGTTTGGTAATAGAGTTGTGGATGAGTGGAACAAACTCCCAAGTACAGTTATAGAGGCCAGAACGTTGTGTAGCTTTAAAAATAGGTTGGATAAATACATGAGTGGATGTGGGTGGGTGTGTTTGCCGTGTTCCTTCCTTAAGTCAATGTGACCTGACCTGACTAGGTTGAGTGCATTGGTTTAAGCCGGTAGGAGACTTGGACCTGCCTCGCATGGGCCAGTAGGCCTTCTGCAGTGTTCCTTCGTTCTTATGTTCTTAAGTGACCCAGTGGCTAACCCTCCGGGGTTAAAAATCCCAACTAAATGTTAAGTCCATTTGTTTCACCTACAACAACAACCTTCCTTCACAAACAACTACAATGGGACCTTAATTCACTGGCTTTTTTTGCCAGGGATTTAACCTAGTTAAGCTACATACATGTGATAATATTTATACCTGAATAAAAACTTACATCGCCAGGAAGTCTAAAAGTGAAGTTTGATCCGAGGAAGCTAAAATTATGTTTAAATGAGAAGTCAGTTAAGAGGAACACTAATAATGTTGACAAACTACTTTAACACCTCCAAATATTACTGTTTGAACTCTTACAAACTTCTGAAGTTCACAAAGTAACTTACAAACTTCTGAAGTTCACAAAGTAACTTACAAACTCTGAAGTTCACAAAGTAACTTACAAACTTCTGAAGTTCACAAAGTAACTTACAAACTTCTGAAGTTCACAAAGTAACTTACAAACTTCTGAAGTCACAAAGTAACTTACAAACTTCTGAAGTTCACAAAGTAACTTACAAACTTCTGAAGTTCACAAAGTAACTTACAAACTTCTGAAGTTCAACAAAGTAACTTACAAACTTCTGAAGTTCACAAAGTAACTTACAAACTTCTGAAGTTCACAAAGTAACTTACAAACTTCTGAAGTTCACAAAGTAACTTACAAACTTCTGAAGTTCACAAAGTAACTTACAAACTTCTGAAGTTCACAAAGTAACTTACAAACTTCTGAAGTTCACAAAGTAACTTACAAACTTCTGAAGTTCACAAAGTAACTTACAAACTTCTAAAGTTCACAAAGTAACTTACAAACTTCTGAAGTTCACAAAGTAACTTACAAACTTCTGAAGTTCACAAAGTAACTTACAAACTTCTGAAGTTCACAAAGTAACTTACAAAAACTTCTGAAGTTCACAAAGTAACTTACAAACTTCTGAAGTTCACAAAGTAACTTACAAACTTCTGAAGTTCACAAAGTAACTTACAAACTTCTGAAGTTCACAAAGTAACGATCAACAACTGTTTACTTTTCACACAACACAACAATGTTACCAACCCTTCCAACCCGCCCGGCGGATCATTACCAACCTGCTAAGTAAGTAAGTAAGTAAGTAAGTTTATTCAGGTATACACAAATACAGTTACATAGAATTATCATACATAGCAGCATATGTGTAGGAACCTAGGATAACCCAAAAAGTCAGACAGAGTGACTTATTCCATTGGGTCACCCAATATACATCGTTCCACTGCCTAACATTTATTTATTTATTTATTTATTTATTTAAAAATTTGAGCACACATACAGAGGTACAACAAATACAGGTAAGAGCAGTATGCCAAAGCCACTTATACTATGCATAGCATTACGGGCTGCTATCATTAAAGTGCTCGTTTAAGTCCGAAATGATTTTAAATTATCCATTTGAAGGAAATACAAGAAATATTTTCCATAATTAGTTTCTACATACCACATGGTTGGCAGAACTGAAGCGACCATAACTATAAAATATTTACAACTCATATTACTTAAATTATTGGTAGAATTACCCACAACATGTAAAGTAAAAGGACACAAGTGCAACTAATGAGACATTTTATTGTGGCAACGTTTCGCTCTCCAGGAGCTTTATCAAGCCATTACAAACAATGCATGGACAGAGGGTATATAAAGGCTCAGAGTGAGGTGCAATACTAGTAAGATAAGATAAGATTTCGTTCGGATTTTTAACCCCGGAGGGTTAGCCACCCAGGATAACCCAAGAAAGTCAGTGCGTCATCGAGGACTGTCTAACTTATTTCCATTGGGGTCCTTAATCTTGTCCCCCAGGATGCCACCCACACCAGTCCACTAACTGTTGTGATAGAAACACAGGCCTTATCTCTAGGCTTTATTGAACATAGAATCTTCATAGTACTTCTGCAACAACAAAATAAAATGACTAGTACATCTAATTACTGCTTCTACAGGGATGGTGATGTCTTGCATATGTCAAGAGAAAAGTTATAACTACAGGCCACATATTTAAACTCACCATGTAATCTGCATCACTAATATATTGATGTTAAAGAAGAGAATCACACACCATGTGTTAGCGCCCATGACACACCAAACTGTTGTTGTTGTTAAGGGCCCCGAGAGGTGGTGCAGTATTATCCTGTTGCTGCTCCCCACAGGACCAGTATCACTACACTAACACCCAGGTACCTATTTGCTGCTAGGTGAACAGGACAACAGGTGTAAGGAAACGTGTCGAAATGTTTCCACCCGCCGGGAATCGAACCCGGGCCCTCCGTGTGTGAAGCGGGAGCTTTAGCCACCAGGCCACCGGGTAGTAGTGACAAAAGTTGTAGTAGTAATACAATATGGAAATATAAACATATGCAGTATAATGTGATCCTTTATTGACTACGTTTCGCCCACACAGTGGGCTTTTTCAAGTCACAAACAGATCTACCTGGGGTGGAAGGGACACGAGTATTTAAAGTCAGGTTCAGAATGCTGAGGTCAGATGGAGAATGCTGCATCTGATGATGTACCGAGTGGGGTTATAGAGTCTAAAATCTTGGGTAGCTTGGAAAGGAGATTGGATAAGTTTGTGAACAGACCTTCCACAGTTGTGCAAGAAAGGTATAAAATACCGACAATATGCAAGTTAAGACACATGTGCAACATCTGGATATCTTTATTGTAGACGTTTCGCCATCCAGTGGCTTTATCAATACAGATTCTAGGACATAATAGGAAGACAGTAGAACTATATACAAAAGATGAGGTAATCAGTCCCTCAGCCTTGGAGTTAGTCTTCACAGCATCGTGGTGGAGGAGAATCTGGAGCAAAGGCAAGAAGACTGGCAGTTATATAGGCGTCAGTGGATAGGGACGGGCAGCAGACGAGGGCATAGTCACTGGTAGGCGGGATTCCCCAGTGGAAGTAGGTCCTTCCCAAAGAGATGGGTTAGTTGCAGCAGCCTTTGCTCGTTGGGGAGGGTAACCTCTACCTGTTCGACAATGCTCGCACATCGTGTTAAAATCAAACCAGCCAGTGGTGTTATAAATGATTCCACTAAACTATTACTTGCTGCCGCTATGAGGACCTGCCTACATCTCAAATTCACAGCGATCCACTCACTCAAGGACTCCTTTATTGTCGTCTGCACCGACGACAATGAAGCAGCTAAACTTATGGACGACACTGCAATGAACACATTACGAGACCGACAATTCATCATATCACCGTCTCCCTCCTTGCTGGCGAAACGTTCAGTTTTTGTTAAACAATTGGATAAGACTGAACATTAAAATGGTATAAAATACCGACAGGTTGTTAGGTAAGACACATATGCAACAGTTAGGTATGGTAGGTAAGACACATAGGCAACAGTTAGGCAACTGTATTCCGAAACGTTTCGCCTACACAGTAGGCTTCTTCAGTCGAATACAGAAAGTAGGCAGGAACAGTAGAGATGTGAAGACGATGTAATCAGTCCATCACCCTTAAAGTCGTAGAATTTTTGAGGTTGTCAGTCCCTCGGCCTGGAGAAGTTCAGTTCCATAGTCAGGAACTATGAAACTGAACTATGGAACTGAACTTCTCCAGGCCGAGGGACTGACAACCTCAAAAATTCTACGACTTTAAGGGTGATGGACTGATTACATCGTCTTCACATCTCTACTGTTCTGCCTACTTTCTGTATTCGACTGAAGAAGCCTACTGTGTAGGCGAAACGTTTCGGAATAAAGTTGCCTAACTGTTGCCTATGTGTCTTACCTACCAACCTGTCGGTATTGTATACCATTTTGATGTTCATCAACAGTTAGGTATCTTTATTACGAAACGTTTCGCTACACAGTAGGCTTCTTCAGTCGAGTACAGAAAAGTGATAGAAGCAGAAGAGACTTGAAGACGATGATTACATCGTCTTCAAGTTCTTCTGCTTCTATCACTTTTCTGTACTCGAGTGAAGAAGCCTACTGTGTAGACGAAACGTTTCGTATAAAGATACCTAACTGTTGCATATGTGTCTTACTAACAATTGGATAAGATAATCACATCCATTCAACGGATGAACTGAAGACCTCTATCGAAGACCAAAACACCTGGGCCTCTGTAGACACCATCACACCGAATTCCCAATGCCTCATCTATGATCAAAATCACATTTTCAAACATAGATATGGCTACCCAAGCACTCTCTAATGGACTAGCTATCTCATATTATCACATACATCCACGCCACATTGAACCTGAACGTTTTGCCCATGTCTCTCCCTGTTGGAACTGTTACTCTTATCAACATTCAACAAAGGACTGTCCCATTAAGACAAAAGTTCTGATCTACCTGTGGAAAAGAAGTCATAACTTCAAAGCCTGCACACCACCAATGCCACTCCAACATGTCTTAACTGCAAGGGTACGCATCATACCCTTGCAGCAAAATGCCCACTACGAAAAGAAGTAATGTCGAAAAAAATTAGAGAAGAAACCAAGAAGAATAGTCCCAAATCGCCGACATATACCGCCATTTCAAAACTCCAGTCGGACACCACCAGAATTCTACAAGCCACACAGCAGTTATCTCTATCCAGCAATTCCCTTTCTGCACTCCCTGATCTGCTGCTCCCTCTAAGGTTTGTACTGCTTGATGTATGCGCACCTTGCAAATGCAGCAAACCCAGGCACATTCAACGCTACAATTAACGAACTATTCCGTCTTAACAACATGCCGTCATTCAACTTTCCTGACTCGCCAACATCACAGGACTTCCTCAAGATTATCCCAAACATCGCTAACTTCACATCAACTTCAGGCCCAAATCCTAACTCTGCCCCAAAAAACACTCCTGAACCACCCCCAGTGACCACTGCCACCTCTCAACAACCACCAACAACCAGCCAGACCGCAAATACTCCCAGCCTCCTCTTGACACAATCACTGTAGAAACAATTGAACAAGAATTTCCTGACGAATCCCCCGACGAAGCAGATAGCGACGACTCCAGCACACCCTCTTGGGAAAACCTTACTTTCTACACCTCTCCCTCGAACGCTGACACCATGACCTGCTCTGAACTCTACAAAGGCCTCGGTGATGGAACAGTCAAGTATGCCTGCGAATCACCTCTTCACTTCACACTCACGCAAGTTATTGAGTTCATCAAGCCTCTTCGTTTCACTTTTTCCAACAAGACAACTGTCTGTCTGACTTTTTTGGGTTATCCTAGGTTCTCTACACACATGCTGCTATGTATGATAATTCTATGTAACTGTATTTGTGTATACCTGAATAAACTTACTTACTTATACCACCTCTCCAGGAGCAGCTTCTAGAAGTTTGCAAATGGCTCCACTGCAAACCTGCCTCCTCAACTACTAAAATAACCTCCCACATGTCTGCTGCCCTCTGATGGTCCTACCTGCCTGCCCTCTCCTGCGACCTGGAAACTTCCAGCTCTCGAGACTCAAAGACCTCACCTACCACGAGACTGTTGCATACACAGCTTGCTCTCTTCCCGTTTTTTTCTCCAAGTCTGTCCCACGATCGCCTTAGCTGCTGGGTCAAGCCCTGGCTCTATTTCTACGACTAAGAACACTCCTCTCCAGCGCTATTCTTCGTCTGTCCCGTCTTCCCCGCTCATCCCATTGGAATCTTACCTGCACTTGCTTGCTTGCCTTTGCTCCAGATTCTCCTCCACCACGATGCTGTGAACACTAACTCCAAGGCTGAGGGACTGATTACCTCATCTTTTGTATATAGTTCTACTGTCTTCCTATTATGTCCTAGAATCTGTATTGATAAAGCCACTGGATGGCGAAACGTCTACAATAAAGATATCCAGATGTTGCACATGTGTCTTAACTTTCATATTGTCGGTATTTTATACCTTTCTTGCACAAATGTAGAAGGTCTGATAAATTAGACACATGTGCAACTCTTGGGTATCTTTATTGATACCCAATAAAGATACCCAAGAGTTGCACATGTGTCTAATTTATCAACATGTCGGTTCTCTGAACCATTCATCTACAAATCTGTAGAAGGTCTGTTCACAAGCTTATCCAATCTCCTTTCCAAGCTACCCAAGATTTTAGACTCTATAACCCCACTCGGTACATCATCAGATGCAGCATTCTCCACCTGACCTCAGCATTCTCCACCTGACCTCAGCATTCTCCACCTGACCTCAGCATTCTCCACCTGACCTCAGCATTCTCCACCTGACCTCAGCATTCTCCACCTGACCTCAGCATTCTCCACCTGACCTCAGCCTTCTCCACCTGACCTCAGCATTTCTCCACCTGACCTCAGCATTCTCCCCCTGACCTCAGCATTCTCCACCTGACCTCAGCATTTCCACCTGACCCCAGCATTCTGAACCTGACCCCAGATTCTCCACCTGACCCCCAGCTTCTCCACCTGACCTCAGCTTTTCCC